TTAATATGGAATTCCGACAAGTTGGAAGCAACGAAACGGAGATGGCCTGATGTACTGGTGTGAAGGATATTAATATATAATATTAAGAAAGGATTGGTTTATCTTAAGGCCCATATATCCATATATATATATGCCATGTTATAATAATAACTAGTAATCTTCAACCTATAGATATTAATATATATGATAGGGTATGCAGATCAGGATCCGGTTCTGTCAATAACCCCTGCTTACTGGTGACGGACTCAGGCCCCTTCGGAATTACAGGACTTCAGACCGACGATACTTTCAATATAGGCATTATAGATTTTCTTGCTGCTGAAGATGTAGTATTTGCTAAGGCAGGAATTAGGGCATGCCTTTAAAGGATAATGGATTTGGGATCTGAAGATTTCAATGGTTTATGTATCATTATTTACGATGGGGACTTTGGGATTTCTATTACTTAAAAGGGCTAAGTTGAAAAGCTTAAGCTTTTAAATGTAAAAAACCCCGATATGATTAAGAGGTTTGTGGAGTAGAGGGCCAGAGGCATGTATATCACTTTTATTTGTTAATCTGAAGTTGCTTTTGATTATTTTATAGTAGTCTAATATCTTGAACTAGGTCCTAAGGAAGTGAAGGCTTTCAACACCAGGATATAATGGTAGATGGATAATTAGGTGTGAAGATTTAACTATGTTAAATTAGATCTATAAGACCTACGTCTGTATATTTTTGTTGATGGATTGTTCGCAAACAATAAGGACTTAAGTTTATAGATTGGTTATGTTATTGTCTTGGGTAATGAAAGATTTACCGGCCAAGACAACAAAGTCCGGATCATTGGAAATATCGTTTATTGGTCGTCTACCAAGTACAAGCATGTGATGTGCAGTGTACTGGCTAGTGAAATCTACGGAATAGTCTAAGGCTTCAATATCGGTTACGTTATCCATTATATTATTAATATAATTCTAAAATACTTCTTATTTATTAAAATCCTTTTTGTTTTATATACCAATTTTTTTTCCCTATACCAGTATTTGATATAAATGGGTAGTACTAACAAAAAGAGACTAATAATTAATTTAATAGCTTTGAAATAATTATATAAGAACTGAGAAATAGATAATATCTATTAGATTCATGGTAGCTATAACCCCGTAGATGCTATAACAAAAATATCCCCAAATAAGGTTATAAAAAGGCTAATAAAGGATAATTAAATTAATTTATAACTAGAAGGATAGGTAAAACACGTAGCTAGTAACAAATTCACAATCAATTAATTACGAAAAGAAAATAGAATAAGTGATGGTTGTATAGATAAAGGATATGTAATCTATTTAATCATCAGGTTTTCTTTTAAATAGGTTACCTTCTTTGTCTACTCATGTAGATAGGCTTTTTTTCCTTAGATAATTTAATATACATTGTCTCATCCTTATTATTTTATTCTTTTTCTTACTTTTGTTTTGCTTTATTTATGTATGTATCTACCAACATTCTTGTTCTTCCATTTCTTCCAGATTTAGAAAGCTATGTTAAACCATTTTCATTCCTTTTTCCTTCAATATCTTTTATAATTGTTTAATATATATAAAATGAATAAAGAATTCCTTTTGGTGATCAAATATTGCTTAAAGTTCCTGTTAAATATCGGCCTTTTTTTCGGAGAAGTAAGTATGCTTATCTTAAATATAATGAAAAGAGTTAAGTGGAATGTATATCCTATTATAGGAAATATTAGTAAGTTTATATTAGAAATATCTTTTTATATCTTCTAATATGATATAATTTAATTTATTATTAAAATAATGATTATAAGGCATGATTTTAATATTTAGATCTTTAATAATGAATGTTAATTAATAATAACTTTTGGTTAAAAATGCCTTTTAGGGTTTCTAAAGAGGCTTTAATATGTGATTGACTATAATTATTAATAGAAATATAATAGAAAAGGAGGAAAAGATATATTAAGAAAAATCCTTAAGATAAGAATTTTAGAAGGAGGGGAATAATATTATAATCCAATAGGAGGAAGGTTAGGGAATAAGGATTTAATAGGGCTAAGATAATTAATTAAAAAGAAGTCTTTATAAAGGTGATAAAGATTATATATCAAGGCTTATATCATGATCTTTAATGATCTTTAAGAGTGTTATAAAAATAAATAAAGAGAAGGTTTCTGGGAATATCATAGAGATAAATAGAGAGGAGGTTTCTGGAGGTTTCTATTTGGGGAATAGAGACTACTTAAGTAAAGGATATATAAGAAGGAAGTTTCTTATATATTTAGTCATTTTTTTATAATTCTTTAATTATTAATCTAAGACTATTCTTTTAAGTATAATGAAAGGATTTTAAGCCTTTCTAATAAATAAGAACATATTTAATTATTTAACCTATTATTGATATTATTATCTTTAAATTAAGAAATCCTGGATTAGTTAATCCAGCAACAATTATACCTCTCTGAGGCATAGGTTCATTACAATATATAAGTAAAACAAAATAAAAATAAGGAAAAGAATGAAATAATAGGGATGAAACGATGTGTATTAAGTTATCTAAGGAAGGAAGGTTTATCTACATAAATAAGCAAGGAAAGTAACCTATTTAAAGGAAATATGATGATTAAGTAGATCACATATCCTTTACTTATACAATCATTAAATATTTTATAAATGATTTATGCTACTTCTTAATCTAGTATTAATATTAATTAAAGAGTTATTAAAATATAATGAATTTATGTCTTAATAAGGTATAGTTATTATTGGATTAGTTAATTTAAGATGTCTTAATTTAAAGGTAATAATATTAATAATAAGTTAAATAATTAAGTATATTCTGTTTGTTAAAAAGGCTTAAAATCTTTTTATTATATTTAAAAGAATAATCTTAAATTAATAATTAAAGAACCCTAAAAAAGAATAATTAGATATATAAGGAATCTTAGTAATTCATATAATCTAATATCCTCCTTTTTTATTCTATCCTATTTTATTCTATTCTAACTTGTTCTATCCTGCTCTCTCCCGTTCTATTCTGCTCCGTTATCCCATAAGAGCAAAGGTCTCATCTAGGATTTTACTATGATTGGTCCTTCTCCATTCTCTATAATGCAAGGGTTGGTTACAGAACGTTGGTTCGTGACATATACCTACCTAGGTGGATACTTTATACCTACATTCCACACCTACACTCTACGAGTTTATATTTATGTATGTAGCTTGAATGAAATCTCTAACGTGACAACATACGTATAGGTAGCTTTGAAATAAACCAATACACCTAGGTGAGCCCCATCTACTGCCAGGAGGTACGTACCTACCCGAGTAGTCAGTACATACATATATTAGGGCTTATGTCTTTTTTTTTCGTTTTTTTTTTTCCTGAGTGGGTTTCTCCGCCTTTTTGTAGGTTTCCCCGACACCTACGCCCCTAACCTCCTCTGAACGCTCATGTTTGCGTTACTAATGTTTGTCTTTGTAGAGGGGTGGAGCCTAGGCAGTGGCCTGGAGGCCGTAGGGTTGAGAAATTGCGGGCCTGGAATGCTTAGGAAGGAGTTTACGAGTTTGAAACGAACGATGTTATCAAAGTTTGAAAGGTATTAGGTTCTAGGATGAAAGTATATCGAACCGGAGTAGTCCTCTATGTAGGGGCATTAGATGGGAAGGTACTACAATCCACCGTTATCAGCACACTGTACTAAGTATTTAAACCCTACACTTTACTAGAGCTTTTACAGCTTTTACACTTGAAAAAAAAAAAAATCAACATCTATTACCCCCAGCTTTCTATGCTCTGACCACCTTTGTCGACTGGCGTCACCTCGAAAAAGCGGGCTCTGACAGGTCGGAGCTCTACCTACCTAGGTACCTAATAGGTACCACTTACAAAACATTCTACTTTCAAAATGGCCGAAGAGCACAATCAACCACCCAACATGCAAGACTCAATGGCGACCGTATACCAGGAATTTCGACGATTCTCTAATCTTCCAGCGTTCGACAATGGGCAGAGATTGTTCGATGCCTTAGCCCTTCTTACCCAGCGGCAGATTGCTAGCGACGAGAGATTTGAACAGCAACAGATTGCCAGCGATGAGAAGTTCGACAACCTCACCACCAGCCTCACCAATACCATCAACAATGCTGTCACTAACCTTACCACCGAGATGCGCGCTATATGTGGTCGCATCGACAACTTATCTGAACGAGTCGACACCCTAACTCTACGCTTTGACAGAAGGTTGGTATTTCATTTTTTGATATCGATATTTTGAATACCAAGTTCTCATAGCGAAACCAACCACATGCTATAAGGGTAGGGATGCATTAATTAGGTGCGTAGGTACGGGAATTTGGCCGGTGGACCTCTTGTGTTATACCTACCTAGGTAGTCACTCATTGGGTACTGGAGTAATTATCAAGCCCCATCAAGGGGCGAGGAATTCATACCTCATTCCGGGGTATCATAGTACACCTATCCCTATGACATCTTAATAGACTAGGAGGTCTCGCCATTTCGATACTACTATCTAATGAGCCTATCCGTCGAAATAACACGTCGAAATAACATCGTCTTTGTTAAAGGCTACCCACGTTCCCCCTACGCCAATAGAAATCCATTTCGATATACTCCACTTTCCTATTTTAGGATGTATACGCTCACAAGAGATCGCGATCGGTATTGAAGGTGTATATGAACATTATAGAAACAGAATGATTTTTTCCTATTAGCTATCGTGATGTACTAAGGATCATCTATATTATAAGCCACCCCCATTCAAGAGATTGGAATACTTCGCACCGCAGGAAGATTGTCTTCACCCGGATCAAATGGCTTCAGACGGGGGCGAGAGCGCGGTACTGGTCCGTGAAGCACAGCGCTATACAGGTAAAAATGAAGGCGGGTGAGCGGGCTTGAGGTCCTGCGTCGCTAAAATGTTTCGGTCAAGAAGAGGAGAGCGTATTAAAGAAAAGAGAGAAAACAGACGAAAAAGAAGAAAAAGAAGAGAAGAAAAAAAGAAGAGAAAAAAAAAGAAAAAAGAATAACCGTTTGGCACCGCCCCGTAGTTAGATACAGCCAGTCAATGTGTTTCTAGACAAAGGTGGGGGGTAGGTCGAGGGATATAGTCCAATAAACGTCGACTCACAGTAGCATAGAAGACCACGGCCGTATCTAAATCAACTTTCAATATTCAATAAAGCTGGGTATCAAGTCTCACTTTTAATAATCGACTGTTACCCCTTTTACACGAGTTCCATCCTAAAGAAAGGCCCGCCGCTAGTCATACGACACTATTCCATCCCTTGCCCCCGTCCCTTTCTCTCGTCGAGTATCATGCCATTCAAGGAGATCTATAATCCATCCCCTCCAGTTTCACCCAACGTGCAATACTCATTCACACCCATCCTTCACCCATCCATATGAACCCGAAAATAAGAAAAGGGACCCAGCGTGTACACATAGAAATAATACGCAGATAAGCCCCCCAAGTCTCCGCTGATGCAAATGCAAATACAACCACACCAATCCTGTTTATTTGCTCATAAAAGGAAACCGCACCAATAACCCATAACCCGAATTCATGCATCAGCGCGGAATACTTGGAGCGCATTATAAATAGTGACATAGATAATATACCGAGATCCATCATGAGCTGAGTAAATCCCTAACGCTCATACCTCTCCCCGAACCGTTATTAGTCATACCCCGACGGTCTACAGTGAGCATTAGGAGTGCGGCGGATGCTTCTTGGTCTATTTCTTGTTGCGGTCTTAGAGCTGGACTTGTGAGTGTAGAGTGCGATGCGGATGTTGTGCCAACACGTTGCGAGTACCCCTGAGGCCCAAAAGCAGGTGACGTGTTGGACGGCCCGCTATAACTATAATGGCGGTACTCCGTCGAGACCGACGAGTAGGACTGTTGTCTCCCTCTCGCGTCTTGCGCCACCAGTGCTGGTGATATAGACGATTGATTTGAACGAGACGGCGTCTGCGCATAGACAGGAGAAGGCGCTTCCGAACCGGTCATTTCAACATCTTCTTGGCCTTCCTCTTCATCCTCCTCTTTATCATCCATCTCATAATCATGAGTATTAGACGGAAGTCTGAATTGGGGTGGGGCTGGCGTAGACTGGTCATCATGTTGCGACTTCAACTTATTGATGCAATCTTCGAGGTATCGCACATATTCAATCGAAGCCTGGACGGGCTCAAATCAGCACGATAAGCTAGTATGGATCGATGACCTTTAAACATACCTGGAGAATCGCTAACTTGTGCATCTCACCGGTGCATGCGGGTATCAAACCCTTAAGCACCGCGAACTCTTCATTCATCTTAGACCTCCGACGTCGTTCAATCAAACTGTGAGCCGTCTTCCTCGCGATCTTCCTTCCCGCCGCGCTAGTCGCTGATGGCTGCTTCTTTTTAGACCCAGTAGCGCTAGCGTTCTTACCGGTACCGGTCGTAGATGTCGTTTTATCCGGAGTCGTCTGCTCTGCTGGCTCCTCCTGTGGTCTTGGTTTCATTTGAATAATTCTTCGAGATCTCGTGGGTGGAGGGGGTAAGGCGAATGTCTCTTTTTGCGCGGTGGACGAGCGCCTCCTCGATTTAACTGTCTCGCTTGGCTGGACTGGATAACTAGTGGTCTTGGAGGATGGCGATACAAGCGACTCCTTGGATCCGGAAGTCGATAATTGCGACTTGGCATTCTGTCCCATGGCCGACGGAGGTAGTTCAAAGGAAACCTGTAGAGTAGATAGCTGATGGGAGTGATCCTGGCCCTTTATTTCGGTCGAAGACGCCGGTGTTGGCGGCATCTTTAGACGTGTCATTTTGGGAACAATATTTCTATTCGGACTTGCTGTTTTCCTTGGTCACACGACAGCAGACGTAGATGTCGTGTCGATCCGGACACAACTTCGAAAGGCCGGTCGATATAAGGATAATTTACAGCGGATTACGAGTATTTTCAGCTCGGATAAAAGACCCCTATTCGAATTAAAAGGTCATGTGCTGTCACGAGGAAAAACTGGAAAAAGGTCGTCACATTGGCGTAAATTAACGGAGGAATGGAGATTGTAGTAACGAGATGATCACTCATTCAATAAGTCATGGCCGGGAGATGAAGAGAAAGTAGAGACATTAGAGCAAGTTAGGGGTCTCTGAACAAGAAAGAAGTTGATTTCGATAATAGATGGATGATTCTGGGAGGGGTCAGTAAGTCCAGATGTATGTCGGACATGGCGAAAAGTTTCAATGTCGACTGAAGCATTGAAAGGTGTCGAGTCGAGGCACGCGATCAGTTCGAGCTCTGACATTGGCTGAAGTGGATGAGGAACCAATCAGATGTGCGGATACAGAAACGTGCTGTGGTGGATTGGTCTGTGCAGCTCATTCCCATGTGCTACAAGCCTACAACTGAGTCTCGGCTTATACCATCTCCCTCCCTTGATCCTGGCAAAAAAAGGGCTTTAACTTTTGACGGGACCACGGCCCTGTCAATACCTTGTGCATCTTGTGCATTTTTGTGTAGATGAGTACCTAAGATGAGTACCTTGGTAGGTAGATGAAGGCGGTCTTCTCCGTGTCCGATGGAATATCATTGGTTGATTTCCATTCAAACTTGATGCTGGGGACCTTCAATCAACCATGCCCATGTGCCTTTTCAACCCTTCTTTTTGAAACCCCTTGCCGCGATGCGAAGCGCGAGCACGTGAAGGGAATCTTCCCCTGGACACGAGACTCCCCAATGACATTACAGGGTCTAGATTCATGTTTGTTGGTTCGCGTTTGAATGCATAGGAGCCTATTCTCCTAAAGTCAGCTGAAAGCGACCGTGATTGAATCGAATAAGTTGTTGGGAGGGGAAAAAGATGGAGGGGGAAGTGCGGTACTTATTTATATGACTCGGGCGGGTTTATGTAATCCACAATACATTTTATTCTTTACCACTTATACGATCTAAGGAGTAACATTAACATTAGCTGCGTTTAAATCCATTTGTATAAGTCCATAGCATCACTCTAACGCAAATCAACTGATTTAGACTTCATGAAGACTCAAGAGAAGCTTCTTTATGAAAGACTACTTTGTGCCAACCAATGAGATTAAACCATATCATCCTGCTCAGCTAATAGAAAAATGCTTAGTCATAGGGCTCGATAAGATAAAGATCCCTTCAGCCCTTGGCCAAGTAGAGCCACAAATTTCTCACCGATCTTCAAGGATTATGGCGGACTTAAGGAAAATGCGGCCTGGCGTGCTTCTCTTAGCGCAATCAGGTACCGATCGAACGAGAAGCCCCTCCATCAAAACGGTGAAGGATACCCAGACCGAGGTATCCTGTTACCCAGAATCATAATCTATAAAAACTTTTACACGAGTCATCATGGGTGCAAGTTCATCCATACCAACGGACCCGAACCAAAGGGTGCAAGTTATCGCAGCGGGGTATGGGCGCACAGGCACCGTCTCCACGGCATTGGCCTTGGAAAGATTACTCAAGGGCCCAGTTCTTCACGGCGGCAGCCAGCTTCTAGTTCGAGACGATAGTAAGGTTTTTATCATCAGTATTGAGCGAATTGAATAGCAGGGACTAATACGTTGCCTCAGAATACTGTAAATTATGGCTTGACGCATATAAAGCCAAGGATGCGGGGGACAAGAAGAAGACTCTGAAGCTAGTCAAAGAAGCTACCGCCGGCTTCGTAGCAACCGCGGATGTTCCGCCGGTCGATTTTATCCCCGAATTGATGGAATTGTATCCGGAGGCGAAAGTCGTGCTAGTCCGCCGAGATCCGGAGAAATGGTGGAAAAGCGTGGTAGCTCTTACATCTAAGGCCACACCTTGGTGGCTCGATGTCGCTATGGCTCCCATCCCGGGATGGAGATATATCCCAGCTTTTATGAGAAGATTTAGCAAATCTTTCCTGGGACTTGCAGGCGTGTCCGACGATAAAGCTAGTCCGGCCGAGTTAATTGAACGAGGAGGCCCTTGTAAGTACCTACCTACTCGCCTAACGTCTGTCATGATTGTGCTCAATGGCTAAACTCGGGTTCTTATGCACTTAGTTCTCCTTGTGGCTCATAATAGGAGAGTCCGGTCAGTTGTTCCGAAGCGCCAATTGCTAGAAATGGAGCTACGCGAAGGATGGAAACCTTTGTGTCAATTCTTGGGTGTACGTGTTCCCAAAGACCCATTCCCAAGAGCGAACGACGCCAAGGCAGTCGATGAGCATGCGGCGAGAATATTTACGCGAGTCTTACAAGTCTGGGTCGGTATTTTCTCCACGACAGCCGTTGTCGTTTACACGGGATGGTGGTTATGGAGGAATAAACAGCAGTCCTTAATCAGAGCTTGGAAATCACTTAAGACGATGGACGTAAGGAAGGCATTTGGTAATGTCTGGAAGTCAATTCGGTTAATTGATCTCAGGAAATCTTTTGGTCGTGTTTGGAATTTCTTCAAACCGGCAAACATCAAAAAGTCGCTAGGTGCTGTTCCGAAAGCCGTATGGCCGGAATCGAAGAAACCCGTTGTAGAGCATTCTACTGGCTATTCTAGCATATGGTTGGAGTAGATAAAAGCAAAAGGGGGCCATGATAGAGGCAATTAAAAATCATATAAAGGCGGTTATCATGGTAACAGATCTAGATGGCCATTATATAGGCATCTTCCAAGATAGAATACATTTACGTAGTAGGTAGCTACAGCTGCACGCGGGGATATCAATACATACATGACTAGAATTGGTTACTGCGGTGAGATAGGCTATGAGCGGTATTGGATTGTAATCATTTCTTGAGTTCAATTCCTAGGCATCGACGTTATTTGTAGTTGCATCAAATCTGTGAATGAACATATTTATCAGATCGAACGTTGCGTGAGTCATCCGAGGATCCCGATCAATTATGTCCGCCCTTACATAGTGTTCCAATTTGTCTGCGGCACAGTACAAATGAAGATCCGCTAAGGGCTGACGCGAGCTGATCTCAATCATGCACCATGATTGGCGAATGGCTACGGTATGACGCCGCTGAGGAGATGAAAGACGAGGGGGGCTTGCAGCTTGCTCCCAGATTGGGTTAAGAACGGCAGCCCGTAGGATGCTGACGGGCACTGTTTAATGGGGAACCGAAAGCGAAAGGCCTGCATACCCGTTCTGCTGGGAAAATAATATTATTATATCTCCTGGAGATCGCCAGCCCTCCGTGAATGTCACCTTTCTTGTTGTACACATTTGCGTGCATCTGGCGGGTGGTAACCATGCGATCAGTTTCCCTTTTCAGCGCGCTGCTACTCAGTAGCAGCGCTATCGCAGAACACCCCTTTGTTCTCGACGCGAAGAACAACGTCACATATCAAGGGCTGAACCGTAACGACATTGAGGTTTTCTTAGGTATTCATTACGGACAAGACACAAGTGGTGAGAACCGATTTAAGCCGCCGCGGCCTGCCGTCCCCGAGCCCAGTAGTACCATCGTCGCGCAATCCTACGGTCAGGTCTGCCCGCAGCCATTGGGTCTTGGCGCGCCGCCGCTTACTTTGACGAACGTGACGGAGTATTCGGAGGATTGTCTCGTGCTCAATGTAGCACGACCAAGCGGCTTGTGTGCGGAGGATCGACTGCCTGTTATGGTCTACATCCATGGTGGTAGCTTTTGGTTCAATTCTAATCAAGATGAAACGACTGCTCCAGATGGCTTGATCGTGGAGTCTATCGCCAATGGACTGCCCGTCATTCACGTGGCTATGAACTATCGTCTCGGGTGTAAGTGAAAAATTACCTATACAACCTAAATATAAAACAATCTAAGCTAATGCACGTACTACCTATAGTTTTCGGATTCTCACAATCCGACGCTCTCGAGTCCGAGGGTTCGGAAAACGCCGGTTTAAGGGACCAGCGTCTAGCTATTGAGTGGGTTCGCGACAACATCGCGAACTTCGGCGGCGACCCCGAGAAGATCACCATCTTCGGACAGTCATCCGGTGGTACGTAATTTCAACTCTTAATATTTCTAATTACAACACCTTCTCATCAGACACTTAGGTCTCGCCGTTGGTCTACAAATCCTAGCGTACGGGGGCAGCAAACCGATCCCATTCCAACAGGGCATATGCGAGAGCCAGGCTTTGGAACCCGGCATCACGGGTAACTTCACAATCGACGCCTTCGAGCTCGTCGTCGACGCAGTCGGATGCAACTCCAGCGCCCTGCACTCACCCGAAACCGTCTCCTGCCTGCGGAACCTAGACACGCAAGCTTTGCAAGCCGCAGCCGAGTCCACGTACCTCTCAGACATCCCGCACAACATCGGCGACATCTGGCTCCCAGTCGTCGACGGCGACTTCCTCCCCGCCGCGCCCTCACAACTCATCGCCGAGCACCGCTTCGCAGCAAACGTAACAGCCATGATGCTCTGGGCCGAAGACGACATGGCGTTTTTCACCGACACCAACATCACTACCGCAGCCGACACGCACGATTTCATACAATCCTACATCTCCCACGTCAGTGCCTCCGACGTTGATTCCCTGCTCGACTTATACCCATCAACCGAGTTCACCGCCAACGAAGCCGCGAACCTATCCTCTGAATTCTACCGCACGGCGCGTATCTTCCGAGACATCCTCATGGTATGCGAGCCCGTGTATCTCGGGTCCGCGCTAGCAGCCGCCGGAAACCCGGTGTATCTCGTAGAGTGGAACCAAACGATCCTCACCCCCATACTCCAGGATCTGTATAATGAATCCGGATTCGGCGTTATCCACACCTCGGAATTCGCGTATACGTTTGGTAACCTATCACACTATGACACAAGAGGCTACGCTTTCGACCCTACGCCAGAGGATTTCGCACTTGCGAAGCGGGGTTCAAGGACTTGGTCTACGTTTGCGAGTCTAGGCGTACCGGGTATCGAGGGTAAGGATACATTCCAAGGATTCGAGCGGTCGTTTACTACGGGTGGTAGCGATGAGACGTTTTCGGTTTTCGTGGCTGGAGGACCGAATGAGGGTTTCTCGCCTGTTGAAGGCTCGGCTTCGAAGGCTGTGGTGGCGGAGCAGAGGTTTAAGGAACGGTGTGCGCTGATCAACTCGGATTCGTTTATTAAGCAGCTCGACTATTAGAATTAAAATACGGCCGGGAAAAGTTTGGATCGTAGATTTAATATGTAATCAAGAGCTACATACTACGGTAGATATCTAGAACAGGCTGTCTATAAATTTGTGAATATATAGGCTACATACCTAAGTACGGTATGATTCCTCTAATACTATGTTCTTGGCATTATTGCCGAACTACGGCGTCTTGTATTGCCTTTTTCTTCCAATCAATCCATGCACCTTTGGATATGCCTCTTATAAATGTATTATAGAAATTAGATTCCAATAATGCTACAAGATGCTCGAAGGTCTATTAAGTATATATAGATAGGTATCATAGCGCCTCTCCATGGTCTAAACCGGTATGCGACATGCCCTAGAATATTATCCAATGATGCCTTATCTAAAACGCCGTGTTTAGTATAGTTAATACGCCCGTATCTTCATTTCTCGTCATTCGTGCTTTAAGCAAAATGTGAACCACAGCGCTTGAGGACCTAGCCTTGCAGATTCAACCACAAGCAATGCTTATTTTCCAACGCCACAAAGTCTTCAGGAAAGTTCGTCAAAGTCATCATCCCAACCCAACTTCTCATAAATGGAAGCCTTCCTCGCAGGTTCCTTTGCGTTTACAGTGGCCTTCTCAGATAATGCAGCAGGAGCAATATCCTTCGTGCCGCTCTCAAGCGTCCTTCGTCTAGTTGGTGTAGCCGCCACACGTCGTTGCGGCGGGGCTGGCGCAGCACGGGGTTTCATGGGCGTCTCCGTTAATTGGTCATGAGGTGAAGGTGGCATCTCAATCCCGCTATCCCTAAATGACATAATAGACGCCTTTCGGGACATGATAGGCGACGACGCAAGAATAGCTTCGTCGTCAGGCTCGGGTGGTGCTGACATAAAACTGTGCTTGAGGTGCGAAGGCCGAGCAGGTGTCGCATCAACTTGACTTGTTGATGCTCTCGAACGTGGAATGCTCGGTGATTTTTCCAGCGAAAATGCCGAATCGTGGTTTCGCTTCATAGTGGATGAGGGAACCAATGAAGAAGACGGTGTATGACCTCCCTCAACAGCATTTATGCCCCGGGAACGGCTCGGCTGACTACCAGTGCTCATACCCAGAACATCTCTGAAGCGATTTCCAACGGGCGTTGCTTTAATTACGTCTTGAGGACGTGTGTGTTGCGTAGGCTTCTTCGATTCTATCAAAGATGTTAGTAGGAGAATTAATTATTCAAAAGGTAATTTCGACTTACTCCTCAGCTGGGAGAGACTAGTAGTGGTTCGTCTCTCCGCTGCCTCGGCGATATCCTTGCCAACAACGTCTCTATTAGGACGCCTGAGAACGGAGATAGCGTCTTTCAACTCTGCCTTAACCAAGGCTTCCTTCCTTGCTTTCTCTTCCTCGGCTTTTCGTTTAGCAGAGGCCGATACGGGTGGACGTGGCATCTTTTTGGACGTAGCCGAATCTGCTTGGGGAATGCTCATCATAGATAATGGTTCACTATTTTCTCGCTTCAACATAGGAGTCGAAGCAGACCTCATCAACGCGATTACCCCACTTGGCCCACGCGACATGCTCCGACGATGTTTCTCGGATTCCTTAGACAAGACGCTTTCTAGTGTCCCAGATGATTTAACCGAAGCGGGACGTTTCGTAGTCGAGCTAGACTTGGATTTTGATTTCACTGCAGACTCCGGCTTCTCTGGCTTCTTCTGTTTTGGCTTTGGCGGCGGCATCATGATAGGTCCACCTAGTTTACGGTTGATGGAGTCGCATTTTTCTGGTAATCTTGCAGAAAAGCTATGACGGTTATTAGTATCTAGCTCGTCGGGTTTGTATTGGGGCACACTTACAATGGCACAATGATATCGACACAGAATTCTTTCAGGGGGTCTGATGTAGCCCTCGATGACTTCTGTGTCTCCGTATTCGCACCTCCTCGTGTACTGCGCGATAAATCAACCTCATCTAATGAGGTCGATTGCCAAATGCATAACCGATCTGCGTGGACATCGATAAGAGAGGACAAGTTGTGTTTGCTACGTTTCTTAGTAGCCTCTGCCTTTGGTGTCTCCGTAGATGCCTCCTCGGAGATGGGTAAGCCAGGTAATTGTGACTCCTTTTCGTTCTGAGGGGCCACTAATGATTCTAATGCGAGAATCTCAAGAATAATAATAACTTGTAGTTGGGTCTCTCTCGATCGTAGCCATGCTATGTGAAGTTTGGTCTCTTGCGGCTCGGTTGTCGTCATAACCTCGTCATCCACGGGCGGCGGTTTACGAATATCCCACCATTTTCGGACGCGATCGTCTTCCATTGGATATAAACCATTCTTGCCAAGCTTCATTTTTCTAGCTTTTCTCTTTTTCGTTTTCGCATTGCCTTCAACCTCCGAATCCTGAAATGCAGACTTCATCTTGGATATTATTTCCGGAATCGTTTCCCGATATTTTCTTCCTATCTGGGCGGTCGTCATGACAAGGCTCTTTAAAAATTCTATCAAATCGCTCATATCTAGATTTGAGTCGCAGTCCATGTGGAAGGCAGCACGCGCCCGGGATAAAGGACCTTTCGCGAAATATGCTAGGGAGCCCTTGAAAGTGTTAGCAGGCGAATTGCGCAAATCGAACTTGGAAACCCTACCATCGAATGGTACAGCGATTCAAGATATTGATTCCGGATATTATCGAAGATACTCTCCGCGGTTGGTGCTGCGAGCAAATCATCTGGCTCGGCAACTGTCGCTGCTTGACTTTTAGATTGGGTCTCGGGTATCTTGGCAGGCGGCGCATCTTGAGGGAATTGGGTATCGTCAACATTTTCCTGGATCGGCGTGGGTAGTCCCGCGGGTGAGATGATCTGGGACGCTGTCGATACAGAGCCGGACCTTGGCTTCTTCACCATAGATTGTATGGCTTCAATCGCCAATCTCCTCTTTTTGGTCTCGTGGTTTAAGTGAGTCGTCGTTAACGGAAGGGATGCGCTTGATTCTTTCGAAGTATGAGTTCGCTTTTCAAGTAGTTCAGGCAAAGATACTGTCGCGAGCTCTTGAAGTTCTTTCAAGTCCACCCATGACCCAAGTTGGCAAAGAGTATAAAGTCCACCAGTCTGGCGTTCCACAGCGTAGATAGTCTTGTCGGTCTCTAATCGAACAATAAGAACGACGGGGCGGTTTCCTATACGGCCCTCGAGGTCTAATATCTTAATGCTCGATTCGAAAAATTGGGAGGATTCGAAACTTCCGTGTGGGAAAGAGAGGTCGAGGAATGAAAGTCGAAGTTGTTCCCGAGGGAGAACCATTAGAGGTTGGAGACTACGTGGCTTGACCGAAAGATTTCGAGGATGTGGCTAGCATTGGGTGAGTAACGGACAATATGATACTAGATATCAGCAAGTGGAACCCCAGTTGACATACCTTAATGACAATTGAAGGCTTAAGAAGCTCTTCCATAGCTTCTATTTCGGCATTTCGTTTGCGCTTTTGGCCCGGGGAACTGTCGAAGGCGGCGGCATTATCATGGCTAAGATTTGGGCGGGTATTAGGGGAAGGCATAAGGATTCCAGCAGATGGTAGACGCGACGCGTCCGACCCAGGAACCGGAAGAGGCATACTGAAACTTGATTTCAAGTTCCATTTATTGGTGGATTCAGGACATGGAATAAAATGTGAAGAAATTCAATGTAAAATAAAAATGAATTGAGTTTTCGGTTGTGAAGTGATCGAGAATACTGTATATCTACAAGTGTACACTAAATTTTTAGAGTTCTAATCAGATGAAGCATGTACTGTACCAGGGGTTGGTGGTACGAAATTACACTTTGCGATGCACCGAAAGTACTGTGCACACGGACCAATCAGATAAGCCCTTATGACTTCACGCGTCAAATCTGCTAAGCCGATGCACGTCTAATGCGCGATGAGGGGTACATCCCCCACCACCATAGGGTGTCAACTGGGTCAACTGGAATGGCAAAACAGCCACATGAATCCATTTGCTTGTGGCACAATTGGGGATCGGCGATCGGTGGCTTAAGAATGATGCGGAACAAACCGTACACCTAGACATTTTTGGAGCATCTTATTCACATTTATTCTAGCCTTGGATCTCCAAATTTGAGCAAAATTGTGATGATGCGCCTCAACTAAATCCTTCAGTTGAGCTCTGCCTGCTTTACACTGTCACATCTGCACTATTCTGATCCAATGATCCAACAATGCAGATGTCGTGCATCCCACATTCAAGTTTTGTAATTTGCGACGTGGACATTTTAATCAGTTGTCAGCAGTCAAATAAAAATACGACGATTCTTTGGCATGATTACGCCGTGTTCAATCAAATCCGGAGAACTTATTCCGTAATAGCTCTGGAGCGCGCGCCATGGAGGATTGTGGCGTTGTATTTCCACACCTTGAAACTTGGTGCACAAAATTGTCGAATGCAAAGGAATAAAGGCTCGACATTTTGGCCCTGTCGCAAAAACAAAGCATCCAACTAGGTAAGTTTCTGCTACAGTGTAGCACGGTGACACAACAGTAGCCCGGAGCTCAAGGCCCCCCTGGCACCTAATGAAGCACCTAATGAGCACACGAGCCTACCTAGGTACTGTACCTAGACACCTAAGGTTAGCTTGCCTTGCTCATCTTAGGTAGGCACTTTCCCAATTTTTTTTCTTGCCTACACCACACACCCCTCGTCGTCAAAAACCAATCGTTCACTTTAAAGTTTCTATGCTAGTCTCTATTCTGGAAAGGTCGCTTATGCAAGTCTCTGAATCGGCTGAGTTCCATGGATGTTATAATAAGTTCTTATTACTTGATTATCCTGTTTCTTTTGACATACATACACAAATAGAGGCCATCGTCATTATCCTAGCAACTTTCTAGCAACTAAATCCATTCTGCCATTTCATACTATCTTTTCCAATTTTTCAAGATCCGAAATTCAACATCCAATCTCATAGGTGCTTACAATACGCCACCTCATGTTGTTTGCTACTACTATTAGTTCCATTATATAAATGAAGTGGATTACCATCGCCTTATCGGATTGATCAATTCGGCCAAATCAATAAAAAACCATATTAGAAAAAAAAAAAAAAAAAAAAGTGCCCGACTGGGTGGAAACCTGCAAAGCCCGAGTCAATAAGTTCTGTCCACATTCGTCCACTTCGCGGATCCAAGGGCTTTTCCTCATGGATTACCCCGGCCCGGTCCATCGTGAATAGCTAACTTGCTTGGCGACCTTCTCTAGCAGCGACTAACGAAGCCCCGAACTTATCGTCGCTCTTCTTGATTCCTACCCATCGAATCTACCTAGCTTAAACCATTTTTTGCAACTTTGGTCTCGTATGGCCTAAAGTGCAAATTAACCCGGATGACACACTAACCACTCTTTTTGAGTCTCTGGATCGAATTCCAGCGAGTGTCATTCCTTATATTTCGACATGTCTGCCGAAACATCGCCGCGCGCCGTTCGATTTTCCCAGAGCGAAGTTGATCTGGCTCAAGATAAGGTCAAAATCCCACGACCCATAGCCATATCCACCGATTCCGATGGCTCGGGTTCATCTGAGGACTATACACCCGATCCGCATGAGCTCGAGCGCCAGGACGAGTTAGGATCACTTCCCCCATACGGAGATGGCAGTCTCTCGAGTTCCATATCCTCTATGGCTCCAAACTCAGTCGCCAACAATGCCGGTAGACAACGAGGTTCTACTAGCGAAGGGACCGCCAACAATACTACGAATGGTGTAGGCGGTCGCCAGCAGCAAAGACCTCATGTTACGCGAACTCCATCGAGCACCTATGCCCCGCAAAGGGGTCCACCTCCTCAACCGCCCTCTTTTATTTCTACCTCAACACGATCCGGTTCCCGCCGACGAGACCCCGCCGATAAGTTTCGCGATCAAGAACCTGCTTACCTGCGCATGATGCGCCAAGATCGACCGCCGAACGGATACTTCGACCCTTACACTCCCAGTATAGACTATTCCGATGAAGAATCAGAGGGCGAAACCCCTTCATCAGAAGGGGTTTTCGATGACCGATTCCCTAATGATGAGACTATTATGTTCCAGAACCTAATCGACGACACACAACCGACCGAAGAAGATATCAAAGACCCCGTCAATCGCGAACGGTTAGAATGGCACGGCATGCTAGCGGCTGTTTTGACCGGGGACGTTGTTAAACAAGAGAAGAAGCGACTTATCGGCACATCAGAATTACAAGTTGGGAAGTCCACCTACAAAGGTGATCTATGGCTAGGAGTCAGGTCAAAAACAACAGGCCGGTCCCTTGCCGTCCAAAGAAGGATTGTCGAACAGAAACGGGAGAACCTCGACCGAATCATCGACGAAATTATACGATTCGAGGTACAAGGCGAAACTGCAGCGGGTAAACCCGCCCTCGAGCAAGTTCGGGATATTGTCAACAAAATTGGGGTATGCGAGAGCCTATATCCTTCGTGGCAGGCATTAGGAGCTGCGCATCAGCAAGCCACCTCGCAATCATTCCAAGAAGCTTACGATTCCGTTATGTCATGGTACAATACCAATGAAATGATTAACACCGAGCTATCGATCCTTAAGAAGTGGGTTGGCAATGACGACCTAGATTTCCAGAGGACGAAGCAGAGATCACCGAGTACCAATGGTTTAAGCGATGAGACGTCTTTCTTGGACCGCCTTTTGAAGGAAGATGGCTTAAGGTCGCTACATGAAGATGACGAAACTGCGACGCAGGAGTACGCACTCAAGACCAAGTCACTCATTCGAAGGAGTATGCTAACGCCGATCTCAACGACAATCGCCAAGGCTAAGGAGACTCTAATCATGAATTCCTCGGCTTTTCATAAACGGCATCTTCCCCCGTATATCGAGGAAATACTTACGCTTATTAGCTTTCCGTCGCGGCTGATTGAAGAAATCATCAAGGTCAGGGTTGCTTATGCGAGGAAGATGAAAGAGACTACTCAGCAAACACCCATCCTTCAAGATCAAATGATCTCGCAATTTGAGATCCTGTTAAAGCTTGCTATTCGAATCAAACAAGAGAATCTCACGGTTTCCCAGCCTCAGCCTGGGTGGAACCTACCACCATGTATCGATGAGTCGTTTGATCAGGTTGTACTCGATGCTTTGAAGTACTACTTCAAGATGTTGAACTGGAAGCTGAGCCGGAACAAGAACACATTCAAGGAGGCCGAAGTCCTGTTTCAAGAATGGGATTTTGCCAACGAAATCGGCCGGCATCTCGTTGGAGGTGACATCGAAGTCGCCGAACAATTCAGCAACCTCACATACAAAGCTCTCAATCGCCTTAGTCAGACGTTTGAGCGCGAGCTTCAGAGGAAACCTAAAGAAAGCCCAGATGATATGAGTAAAAGATATATGCAAATGTTAGATTCAGTGAGGGTTAGGCAAAGAATGCTCCAACGGTTCTCGAGAATGTTAAGTGAGCATTATGAAAACGCCTCGGATATGAGTATCGCCCTAGGCGCTGATGGCCTCAAATCTCTATATGAACGGCTTTCAGTCACTGGCCACTTTTTGGTCGATGAAGTCGATGGAATACAAATTATAGCATCGCCGTCGCTAATGGGCCGTGACGATGAGGTTCAGTCGATTCTGCGGACTTGCTTCCATGAACAAATTTCTGAAGACCCTACGGACCCGTACGTACTAATACTTCGTCCGGAAGCTCCACTGCACTGGTTTGGCAACCGACGTGTTCAGCCTCTCAACATTGAGTCTACTGACCTCAAGCTTGGCCAAATGCGTCTCATTGCGGACGGGTCTCAAGCCCGATTATCTAACGCGAGAAAACTCTTCCTAGACACGATCGATATGCATCTCGATCTCATCTTAGAAGCACGATCGAACCTACACAAGGTCAACACTAGGTTATTCGAGATTCGAAAAGTCGGCTTTAAATTGTCAAACACATTCATGGACAGTGTTGAGATCATTCGGAAGCAAACGAAAGACTTAGATTGCCAAGACCTTATTCAAACTTGTTTCGTCTTCGCGACAGAGTTCGGGCAACGATCCCTCTTATACATGGACAGTAACCGGCGACAAATGAACAATATGAAACTCACAAAGCTTAGTTTGGATTGGGTTGGTTTTATATGTGACGACTGTAAAGTCACTGATCGCAAGTCCTTCCGTTGGGCGGTGCCCGCATTGGAATTTGCAATGAGCATGACCAGAGGTCGACATATCTTAGGACTCGGCGACGACGAATATGCCAAACTACGAGCAAAAGTGTCGGGTTGCATGTCACTTCTTATTTCACACTTCGATATACTCGGCGCTAAGTCCAACCAAGCCGCCCAATTAGAGCGGGAGCGAATTGAAGCTCTCATCGGAAAGTTCAAGCAATTCGACAAGAACCGTACGCTTGATGACGAAGAAGCTACCAAGTACATCCAAGCGCAACGTCTGCTGCAACTTGGCGATATTGACGATGCACAGAGGCGTATCGTTGAAGAGAGGCAAGGACTAGGACGGGTATTGGAGGTTTCCAACGAAGTCGATCGTTCGTTAGCATACCTATCATCATCCGCCACTAACGTGACGATGAGATGGCAACAAGGGCATTTTGTCGGCGGCGGCACGTTTGGAAATGTTTACGCTGCCATGAATCTTGATACCGGCCATCTCATGGCGGTTAAAGAAATCAGATTACAGGACCCGAAGTTGATACCTCAAATCGCAACACAAATCAAAGACGAAATGGGTGTCTTGGAGGTTTTAACCCATCCAAACGTCGTGTCTTACTATGGCATCGAAGTTCATCGTGATAGGGTTTACATCTTCATGGAATTCTGTTCAGGCGGTTCACTAGCTGCTTTGTTAGAACATGGCCGTATCGAGGATGAGCAAGTTGTTATGGTCTACGCATTACAGCTTCTTGAAGGTCTAGCTTACCTGCATGGAATGAGCATTGCTCACCGTGACATCAAACCAGAGAGTAAGTTCCGCGTTTTACGCAACACTTAATTAATTCCGTACTAATTCAGACAGACATCCTTCTGGACCATAATGGTGTTATCAAGTACGTTGATTTTGGTGCCGCCAAGGTTATCGCACGACAGGGCCGTACTTTAGTTCACGGCGTCGCCGCCACAAAACCCAACAAGTCAATGACTGGCACGCCCATGTACATGTCGCCCGAAGTCATTAAGGGCGAAAACCCAGGGCGTGCCGGAGCGGTAGATGTGTGGTCATTAGGATGTGTTATTCTGGAGATGGTGACTGGTCGTCGACCTTGGTCTAATCTTGATAACGAATGGGCAATTATGTACAACATTGCTCAAGGCAATCCTCCACAACTTCCAACCACGGACCAGTTAAGTCCGCAGGGTATTGACTTCTTAAGCAAATGTTTTATTAGGGATCCAAAGAAGAGAGCTAGTGCTGTTGAGCTTCTTCAGCACGAGTGGATCATGTGCATTCGCAACCAAGTTATCGAGCCGCCAACACCAAGCGATACTAGCAGCAACTCCGCTCAGAGTACGCCACATCCTATTTCAGCGGGAAGCAGAGGAAGTGCGGGAGGGGAGAATGGCTTTTATTAGGGATACTGGCCCCCCGAAGATATGCCTTCTGTTCAAGTTACTGAGACGGTGGAGGATAATGTATCGTCATTTGGCGAGCCCGCGTTGACACCGCCGGCCGAAGATTATGCCGGCACAAACCCGAATATATATCAACTATCAAACGCGAGCACTCGATCAACTCCTCCTATTAATCTACAAGCCGCGCAAGAGTCCGCAAGGAGAGCTCAGATCAGAGAAAATGTTACCAGAGCACGAGCTAGGTCTGAATCTACCTTACCGACTAACTTGCAGTATGATTTTTGGGAAGCAGACTTCGGTCCAAGTTCCTCCAATAGCGGACCTTAAAACCATTTGAAGAAGTCTAAGATGAGGATGGGATTTTGCAAATCCATTTACTATTGTTACGGGGTGTATATACGTACATCTATCACGGCAAAATTGCCTATCTATGCTTAAGGAGGAAGGTTCAACTACTGTACTACGAACGGCCTGAGTTTCATACATCCGGTTGCATGAGCGACGGAGTCGAGAGTATTGTTTGTACCTGTTTTTGTTATTTTTTTATTCACGTTTTCGTTTCTGCATTTTACGGCGTTTATTATTCTTGCAGGTACACAAATAGGGGGTTCAAGTTTAGGACTCACGCCAGGGGTGTATCTTAAGTAAATTTGACGGAGTTGTTGCCTCTGTACCTACTTAGTTTGCTTACCTACGTATATCTGCACAAGTAGGCGTTGAGCAGACCGAATGCGTAAGCAGGGCTTAATACATGAATATGAGAAGGCGGATCGGATCGGGAGATGCCGGAGTCGGAGTAGGAGTCGATGGAGTTGAGAGTTGAGAGTATGGTAATAGTACAGTACATACGTATATACAAGACAACAAACAAGCAAACAAACAAATTAATACCCTTGTAACACCATTTACTATTACACGATATGCTTCCATGATCTGAGATAGATGCCTTGCAGATGTGCACATATTACTTGCATCGGTCAATGTTTGCTGGGTACATATCCGTTATGACATGACATTTTGCTGCCGTCTCCCGCTGTAGGAGTTAGAGATATATTATTAGGTAGATAGCTGGGCGCATCCGATGGGGGAACATTGGTTTTTAATACGGCCGGAGAGGGGTCCGGTTGTGTTACCGGTGTCTGCCGGCTCCGGCGTATGTATAAATAGGGCTGCGGAGTACGGAGTTTATTGCCTAGCTTGGTAGGCGAAGCAAGCAAAAAAAAAGTGAGGCTGGGATGTAGGACGTTTAATGGCGGCTTGGGATTACTTGATTGGGATATGTTTGCGAGGCGTAGGAGTAGAATAGATACATACGTAAGTGTCTTTTTTTTTTTGCATGTCCGGATAATGGCACGGAGCGGAAGGCGGGAAGGCGGGCTGTGATTGTGGCTTTGGGATCCGGTGTTGGAATGACTAATAGGATGATGGATTGGGGATATAGTGTTTTGGTGCGAGTTGAGGTAGGCTAGACGCTAGGTGTTGTGATTGTGATGATGATTAGTATTATGATGGACGTGATTTGCTGTTTGTCCTAGATAATATCAACGTCCTCGGTGTTGTGATGTGCAAAAGCGGAAAGGGGAGAGAGAGTCGGATGTGGGCAGCAAAGTACTAGGAACTTTGCTAGATCTGCATCTCTACTTTGGATACTTCTGTTTGAAAGTATCTCGATGCCCCCTTTGAAGAATAGATCTTGAAGGAATGAATGGGGGAGAAAAGGCGAGTAGTGGATAGTTGCATCGGTGAATAGGTAGGTAGATGGCATGTTCCGGTGGGATAGAATGGTGGATAAGACTTCAAGATGTCAATACGCCTATACACTCTTGCGTAAGGCCAGGCCGGGCAACCAGTCACGTCTCAAAAGCGGCGTGCTATTACGGGTAAATCATCTCATCACCTTTCCATGATTCAATTCACCTCCTCTTGTCTGTCCATCCTACTATTACTATGACTAATCTCAATATACAATCACAATAAAATAGAAAAACTGCCGTACACATCTCACACAAATGTCAAATTAGCAGGTTTACACTCGTGAATACGTAATTGATGCTCTTGGCGGGGAGGTCTGGGAGAGGATAAGAGAGATACCGGGTAAGTTGGTAGGTAGCAGTCACGTCGCTGTAACGGTGATAGACAACGATGACATGCTCCCGTGCCCTCCCCCCTTTTTTCGCAAATGCGAACACGCGCGCGTAATCACAATATTTTCGGTAGAGATGTGTTCACTGGTTTGATTGAGATATCCTCGGTCTAAAACGCACGGTTAGAACCGGTTTTCACGTAGTAGCAGTAAGGCATCTCGATCAAATATCATTCCATTCATTCGATTGCTTGCTGATTGTGCTCTCTGGTCGGAAATGGGAGAGCATACGATGCTACGGTGAGATACGAGCATTTCCAAAACCAGGTCGCCGAATTCGAGTGGGCTGATTCGTCCCAGTTTCAACCTCGACCTTCCCCGATCTCCGGGTGATGGGAGAGTAGTGACAGATTCACAATTCCCGCACCTCTTTCCGTATAGTGAGTTTCCAACTCTAGTCGCCCCTCAAAATAATTATCGCCAACTTAATGACAGATTCGCCATGTCCCTTCATCATTAAACTTGACGGAAATATGCATGTCGTAGTACCTGCGTATCGAGTGGTTGGTCTCAATCACTATCTCCATCGTCAAGAGCATCGTCGTGATCATCATGCGGCGCTCGGTCCTCTAGATGATCGTGTTCTTCTTCTCCCTCTGCACCTTCTTCTTCATCTTCCTCTTCTTCTTCAGGGGCTTCGTTCTCGTCGTCTTCATCTTCCTGCTCTGGTTCGGGCTCTGTCTCAGCGTCGCTCTGATCGCGCAGCTCTTCTGTCGCATCGGCGCCATCGATATCCATAGCAGAATCATCGGGGGCGTTAGGCTTCTGTTTCTTGGAAGCGCGAGGCGCGTTCGTGGTTGCGACGGTCGAAGTTGATACTATGGAGGCATTGGGATCCTCCTGAGAAGCGGCTGCCTTTTCCGCCTTCTTAGCTGCGGCGACCTTACGTCGGTAGGTATTGCGCTTGGTAGTTTGAACTTCATTAAATTCTAGAATTCGTAGAATATTAGCAACCCATAGTACAATAGACAAGAGGGGCGTCATTACGTACTCTGGAACTCAGCCTCGAGACGTTCCCGCATGAAATCGAATTCTATAGTCTCAAGAGCATTGAAGACATCGGCAGGCATAATCGTCTTCTTATTCGATGCTTGTGTCCTCTCGTTTGCCCTACAGCAATCAAATGTTTAGCACATATTGCTTCCTACTGAGATGTGTAGTTTATGAGACGTACGCATTCGCAAGGTGGTTAATAAACACGGTTGCGCTTTTGCTCATAGCGAGGATACCATTAGCTTGGATCTGCGTATTCGGGGGCAAAACACCCTTCGCGAGGCGCGTTATTATCGACTTCGGAAGGTTGAGATCCTAGAAAGAAATCGCCTTGTTAGCTATCATGTGCGCGTGAAGATATATAATCGCATCGCATACCTCGATTGAGACAGAATCCTTGGCACCATTCTCTTTCGATTCTTTCTTATCCTTATCAGCAGGAGGCGCGGCCTCGGCAGGTCGGTGAGAGTCCATTTCTATAGACGGTGTAGGTTTCGCTCTTGCTGCGGCGAGTGTGGCGGCAGCTTGAGCAGCGGCAGCGGCTGGAGCAGCAGGTACAGGTCGGAGGGATGTAGAAGAAGTGTCGGCGTCGGAACCGTCGTAGACAAATTGAGCCATAGATACGTTGCTCAGCCGAGCGCTGTCACTTTTTCGAGGGGGCATAATGTGATGGCGGTGGCGCTAATAGGCCCGGTACTGTGTTTGCTGGGAATTAAAGCGAATTTGAACTTTGAGAGGTCATTAACTTAACATAGGTAGTTAGTGCTGCTAATTTTTTCAAATCGTCGAATAATCATCAGTCAATTGGTTTATACAGTGGTTGATTTGGTTTATTAGTTGATGAAGTTGGGGATTGGAATAGCTGAGTTAGGCTTAGATTATTAGTAGGATTGTCCTATAGCGGCGCGTGCCCCACGTTAGACGCGCCGAAGACGCGTAAAGAGCTTTCCGATAAGGTTTTTAGGGTTAGAAACAGCGCCGATTAGAAGGCACCTTCCAGCAGTCAACACTCAACAATTCTTTCTCCCAATTACCACTTTCATTCTAACTTCTTCAAACCTTCAATTCTAATCCTAATCCAATACATACATCAATCAATTAAATACACCAAGAACCTAATCAATATAAGTATACTCCATCTACATTGATTACATATAGTATAATTGTCATGAGTTGCGCAACGACATCATCCAATGTTAAATTTAGCATCTGATCGGGTCGAGCAAGTTAAGCTTGGGACCAACATTCGAGGCGCCATCTCTTTATACAAACACCCGAGATACGCCATTCTGTAGCGCCCAAGGTCCTGAAGAATGAGAAGCTTTATTCAGCATGCCACAATTGCTAAAATGAGCTTTTCATTAGCACGACATCTCGCCCTATCTGGACTATCTGGACTCTTTCGACATCAACCTTGCTAGGCTCAAGATCAGTCCCGCTCTTGTCGCAGCATCTTTTCCGTACAGTGTACAACACCTACAGCACCTATGCGGGGGTATACACCAAGGCAATAATGCATTATTTAATACCAATATCTTGGGTACTTAGCAAATTAAAGACCCCCTCACAAAACAGGACTACAGTTTAATCTTCGGCATAATTCTTATCATTAAGCTATTTTCCCCTGGGATGATTGTTTGATCGACGACAGGGTTGAGAACGTCACAAACGAACTACGGCATACAAGGCACGCCATCACATGCATGATTAATGAGCAACTCCAAGGGATATGAGCAATAAAACGTGGCAGACACGAGTAGTCGTGATCACGATCAACGATCTATGAGATCCCGGCCGGCCCCCTAGCCATCTTCACCCGGACCCAGCCCCGGCTCCGTCCTTCAGTCCTGTAATTATTCCTTAAGCCTTGATTCACATTCGCCTGGTAGGTCCGGGCTGCCGGCCAGACGGAAGCGCGCGCCGACTCAGATGCAATTTCGATGTACCAAATCACATAGAATAATCAGTTTCACTTTGCGACAGCACTATGAAGGGAACCAAGTCGACCAAGTTATGCTGTTAGTATTCTCAACACGAAGACATCACGAAAAGTGGAGAATTAAAAACAATATGATGTTTTACTTCATTTCAATTAAACATCTTAATTGAATTGCAGCAAGCTTCAAGCCGACTACAAGTGTAGTTTTATCAACTACATTCCGAATCTGAAAAATAGCTTTGAAAAGCTGAGAATTCGGTAGATAAACCTCCTCCCCCTTTATCCTCCGCTCAGGCCCCTCGGCGTCATTTCCCTAGTGGGTAAGATGTGCTCGGGCGCCTGTAGCGACTCTTTCCGCTTGGCCGCCTCGTCCTGTTAATATTCACAGGCCTCTTCGTACCATGCGATGTCATATCCTCAACGACATAACGAGAAAACCGTCAGAAATATGCCTCATGCCTATATCCAATGCAAGAATGCCTCTTCACAAAAATCCCTATCGGCAAAAAAAGCCATAATGCCTTCATCAGAAGTTTCAAAACATAAAAAAAGATCTCTGGGGTATATCCTCCGTGTCCCGCGTTACTCGCGTCTTGACGTTTCCAAAAACTCCTTTGAAGAAATAAAAATGCAATTAAAAAGACGTATTGTTGCTGTCGGCAGTGCATACCATGAACATAATGGACCAGGATTGAAAAAAAAAAAAAAAAATCATCGTGCAGATGCACCAAAAAGGGGGCTCATAAAAGCTAATAGCTGATTGAGATGAGATACGGCCGTGCTTGTGCTGCTAACAGGCAGACAGGCTAGCTAACATAGTTTGTTTCCAAGGCGAAGGAAATGCGGAGTTCCCCATACCACCACTAGCCAGTCTCGATAATAAACGGCGCACGGCTCTCTTGCGTGGCTTCAGCTTGCTGGAGACAGTGTCGCCCTAATTCTCCAACGGTGTGCAAGGATAATTCGAGCCGACCCTTCTTAGCTTACTCCCTCGAAACAGAAAAATCTGTGAGGAACTGAAACAAAGAGAGAATGCTTATTCGTACACCCCCCCGGTAATCTCCAAAACTTGGAAAACGTGGGAAATGGCAGGGATAGAAACTTGAATGTTGAAACCAACCGCAGATTGCGATTCTCAGCCTACGGCCAATCCGATCGTATGGTCGTTTTTCCGCCGAGACGGAGGCGGCGATAGTCCGGTTAGTTGTTCATTGTCGCCGAAAGATAACCTTGGGGGCGGTGGGATAGATGAGTTTGAGTATATGCGGTTGTGGCTTCGTGTGTGCGCATCGCTCGATCCTCTTGGAGATGAAGATGCCTCTGCTGCGGCGTCCCTCCATGCGGCTTCGGCGAAACTCCTCATACTGCTACTCCGTGATCCTCTCGCTCGGCTGTTCATATTTGGTGAGTTGGGTGGCAGTTTGTGCAATCTCGACGGATGTCGTTTCGGTGAAGGTAAGAAGGGATCGTCTCCTGGAACTGCATCATCCGTTAAACCCGATCGTGCATTCGGAGCCCGTGCCAAAACCGCTACGGGAGGTTGTGGGAGATCGAAGCTGTATTTGTTGTTAATAAACGACCTCGGAGATGCTACTTCGGTAGAATGTCGTCCGCCGTGTTGATATTGAATTACACTTGGCGCTCTCCTTGTCGATGTTGCTGTCGACGGGTTCTGCGAATGATTCGGTCGCATGGTGTACCTATCCGTCACTTTCTCGGCCGATTTATTCGATTTCCATGTCGCAATCTCGTCATCGCCAATCGGTGTGATACCCCTCTTAAACATCGGTAATTTCTTTCGTCGTTCCCCCGTGCATACATAAGCCGCCACGGCTATCAGAATTACTCCTGTAATGCTTAGCACGGTGCTAAGTGCTATGGTTAGTGTGGAGTTTCCATCGCCGGTGGATGAGCTGCTTGGCGTTTGAGGGTTCGACATTGTGGACGTTTCAGTGGGTGAAGTAAAATCGGTACTAGGCGTGGTAGTGGTGGATTCAGATGCCACGCTTGGCGCTGATCCTGTAATACTGGAAGTGGTTTTTGAAGTAATGAGAGTAGTCGGTGGAGTTGAGTCCACCAAAAGAGAATTCGTGGTAGCGATAGTCGTAAGCTTGGCTGATGAAGTCTCAGCCGGTGCTAAAATGGTTGATGATGATAATGAAGCGAGTGTCGTCGAGTCGATGTTCGTCTCAGTGTCCGGAGGCGCCGAAGTCGTTACCGGATTAGCTGGGCTCTCCCCTAGGGGTGGTATTTCCACAGGAGTCACAGTTGCAGGAGCCGGCTCAGGTGGCGGGCCTGGAGTATCAGTACCATCGGGACCTTGCGGGCCACGCTCCTGTTTCGGTATATTTGACGGGATGGCAGCCCGTGAAGTTGAGGCTACCAGTGAAGGCGCCGCGGTTTCTATATCAAGAAGTTAGCTGACCGGTCCGTAACTCATTTAGCTTTCAGAAATAACACCGCCACTCTTGACGAACCCTTCTGGCTGCTGCTTAGACTCTGCGGCGGCACAATCACTGAGGAATTCCCACTTGGGGGCCCTTGTCGAACATCTAATCGTAAAGTTCGAGCTACACCAGGTAAGCCGAGTAAGAATAATGTCGTTTGAAACCTCATGGCGGGCGTTTCTCAGTTTATCCGTTTCCTCGGTCCAGCCGGTCTTCTCTTAAAACGCAGCTAGCAGCTATCAAAGCTCATAACTGCTTGCTTATACCAATCGATGGAAAGTAATCATATCCAGCAGCCATTGGCCCGCCACGGCTGTTATACGATTCGACACGAAATGAAGACTCAATGCAAAGAAAAAATAGTGAAATTAGGGGGGTGATAGGTTAGGAGGGTGAAATAACTAACACTTCTTGTCTTTTCACTGGCCAACTCTCACTGGCTTAGTAGCCGGTTTGGAGTACGAGGAGCAAGCAGGGAAGAAAAACCACCGCTTGATATTAGATTGCCTTTCCTACAATAATAAAGCCGAACGAACAGCAACGACAAGCCCCCTTCATCGAAATGTTGAAATGGGGGAAGGGTTGGCGTTTGAGGGAGAGTGAAGGTTTCCAGGATATGGATTCGGGTTTGGTTTTGACTTTTTTGAAACGAATGGAAGAGACCGGGCGGAAAATACGAAATTACGAGGGTTTATCACCCGTATAAGAGAGCGTGCGTGGGATACCTGGGGTTAACTAACTAACCAACTAACCAGCTGGGTAGGTAGACAGGTAGATAGGCTGGCAAGCAGGCACGCTGGAACGAAACGAAGTCGTGCGCGGAGGAAACCTGACGTTTGGGGGTTGTTGAAGGGTGGTGGAGGTAGTAAGTGGAGGGAAATTGACGGGAGACGGAGCGATATGTATGTATGGATTATAGATGTGGATTATGGGTATGGGTGTAGGTAGGTACGTATGGATACGGGGGGCTAGGAGATCTTGATATTCCTAATTTTTCACCCACTTTCACGGTGGAGGAGAAAAGGTAGGTATGGGATGTATGTTGTAGATATGTAGCGTAGAATTTCAACACCTGGTCCGGCTTTTACGAGTCCCAGCGTGGGTTAATACCACACCATGCCGTGGCAGTTTATGGTTAGCGCCCGCCGATGAGGGTGTGTGGTTGTAATTTAGAGGGGAGTGGACCACGCGGGAGGGTTTCGCACAATGTAGATGTGTAGGCTGGGTATGTATGAATATGTGTGTATGAGACGTGAGAATGCAGAGGTGGTTAATAATAAGGGAACCCATGTATATGTGTGTGGTGCTGTGTTCGCGCGGGCTCGTTTCGAGAACCATATGGGTAGTACATGCAACCAGGTATTATTATGTGGGTAAGGAAATGTACATATATCTCTAAGAGGTCTTAATACTGGACCCCCATCACTGCGATCGACAAGATTGCTGCAAGATAGATA